CCTGCCTTAGCCAGAGGTGTGTTTGCGAGTCCACTCAAGGGTGTTGTGTGCTTCCTCTTTCCCCACTTAAAAGAGAGAGAGAAGAAAAAAAAAACCAGATCTAGCCAAAGGAGTCCTGAGCCTAGAATCAGCCCAAACCCAGGCGCCTCCTGATGAACTAAGCAACCTGCCCGATTCAGGGGTTCGGGCGTCAGCTAGATCGAGAAGGAAAAGAACGGCAGAGGCGTCGGGAGCGCAGCGCATTACTCAGAGCGCAGCTTTCTTTCCCACCCTATTGTGAGCTTCGGACGGAATACTGGCGGTAGTTCCAGCGGGGCCGTTTGTTTCCTCTCTTCCAGATCTTGGGACCGAAGGATTCTTGGGGGTCCGCCGGGTCTTAGCTTGGGGGAGGCCTGGTCCCCGGAGGAGCCAGTAAAACAAAAGCAAAATTCAACTTTCTCCCAGCAGTCGCGCGGCACTTTCCGGGTGTCACTCCTTCCCACTTCCCGAGGCAAAAAAATAATAATTCCAGGGGTTAGCCAGATGCGTGGGAATCCGTCCCGCTGGAAGCTGCAGGGCCGCCTTCCTCGGCGAGAGAGAGAGAGAGAGAGGCCGGCCCGTTCACACGAAGCTTTTCCTAGCGAGCCCGACCGGCCTCGGCGCCGCTAAATCTTCCTCTTCTAACTTTTGCTTTCGTGGTTTAGGGGGTCGTTTCGGCCGATTTTGGGAAAGGCGTATAAAATATCTACACACGGGGAGGGGGGGAGTCGCGTTCGGTGCAGGACCCCCGCGAAAGGAACTTGTTTGCTGCTTCTTCGGATGCGGGTGCCAAAGATGCGTGGTCGCCGACGGCTCGGGGGGAGCAATTTCGGCCAGGGACGAGTAAAGGCGGGGGAGCAAAGCCACCCAAGCGGGGATGCTGGGGCTGGTCTGGTTCCTGCCCCGGCGCTTGACCCGGGAGCATTTCCTCTGCGGAGCGTTTTCGATGCCCTTCCATACTTTGGGGGGTCCATGGCTTGCGATCTGGCCTCGTCGGCAGCTCACGAAGGAAACCCGGGATAGCTTTAGACAGAGAGTCTTGGGGGGCGCCTTAAAATTCACCCCGTGTATCTTTGCAGGAGCCCTCGAGGTTCACAGCGCCTTGGTCGGACGCAAGGAAGGAAAGACCCTCGCCCATTCCAAATACAGACCCCGGTTTCTTATTTACAAATTTTTATTAATTTTCAAATAAACAAGTTCTTAATACAAATATGGTGCACATCATTAAAAAAAAAAAACCTATTGAATATCATATTTTCAGAGGTGATCGGCAGTCCCCCCCCCGCATCCACCCTCTCTTTCACCCTTCCTACCTACTTCCCTCTTCCTTTCCTCCCCTCCTACCCACACCTCTCTCCTCTTTCTCTTCCAACTACCCTACACATCCCACTTCCTTCTTTTCCTCAACCTTCGGATGCAGTTTGGGGGTATCTTCTATCCAGTTTAGCAGTCCAATGGCTGGGTCACACCCAGCGGCGGGTGACTCTCTCAGCCACCCTTTCCCCATTATTTCCCTCTTCCTTTCCATCCCTCACCCCATTCCCCCGTGCGTAATATTGTCCTCTCCGAAATGTATTCCCCTTATGAGAAATGTGAGCAAGAAAGAGTACGAGATGTCTTTAGGAAGCCGCAAGAATCTTCGCTGGGTACATACCCCACTCTTAGGCAGACGCGTTAAAAAGGCATTTAGTCCCCCAGAGGGGGGGGGACGTTCCAAGAGAAGCTGATTTTCTCAACCCCCTTAAGGGAATTTATATTTCCAAGTGAACACTATAGTCTGTTTTAAGCGCTTAATGCGAAGCACCGACCGTTGAATTAGAGACTCCTGTTAAAGAGAGAAGACGTGGTTTTTGAACCCCGAGCGTTTTTTATTTATTTATTTTTAAGCAGTCCAATCTCCCCCAAATTGGCATCATTTTCAGAGAGAGAGAGAGAGAGAGAGAGAGAGAGAGAGAGAGAGAGAGAGAGAGAGAGAGAGAGAGAGAGAGAGAGAGAGAGAGAGATGTTTCCCCCTCTAGCAAGAAAATAGCCTTTTGAAAAGTCACCAGAGTTACTGTGGTGCAAATTTCCAAGGACTACATTAAAAATAAAACGAAACCTGAAAGTACATCGGCATTAAGTGCTCTGGCTCGATTAGATGAGATTGTTCGTTTGCTTTGCGTCAAGGTGGGAGTAATGCAGGTAAATCTATGGGTGTGGGCACGCGCGCGCAGAAAACGATGGTTGTTGTTAGTTGCGAAGTCGTGTCCGACCCATCGCGACCCCATGGACAACGTTCCTCCAGGCCTTCCTGTCCTCTACCATCTTCTGGGGTCCATTTAAGCAGAAAACGATAGGGGCACAAATAAAGTCTAGTTTGATGTTCCGCTGGATAAATCTCTCTTCAAAGGAACGGCCACGTCCGTATTGCTGTGACTTTTTGAAATAGTCATCCTTGCATTGCAATATTCAAAGCTATTTTTTAATTAAAAAAAAAAAACATTTCTCCTAATTCCAGATTGCTTTTGTATTTCAGTCCCAGGCGGCTTTCATAATTCATTGAACTGCATATTATTATTTCTGGGACTATTTAAAATTCAGCTCTGATTTCACCCAATCAGAATGGGTTAGAAATATTTTCCACCTTGGCTGTATCTACCAGTTCAGGTAAAGAATACGGGTGGGTGCCCTACACTCTTCCCTAAGTAGGTAGGGGAAGAAGCCTCCAAATATAATGTAGGAAGGAAGGGGAAGGGAGGAAAGACGGGCATCTTTTGTTCTTGGAAAATAAATTAACCGGTCAGCCAACGCAACCGCCCCCCCCCCAGTCAAATTTGTCCAAACACCTTTGCGCCACTTGCAAACAAGATTACGGACCTGCGAGCCTCGTGTGGGGGACAGTTTTGCAAAGCTGGAGCTTAAGGGAAAAAGGAGACAAAAGCCCCTTGCAAGCATGCGCCCGGCTTGGCACCATCCAAGCGGCTTCGGCCTAAAAGAGTTGTGTGCTGTTCTGTTTCAGGTCTTATCCAAAGGCATAAGATGAGCGGGCGGGTTTTCCCTCTGGAGGACGCCCGCCCGGCTTCCTTGCTGGCCACTGCGAGCACCGCAGCATAGGCTTCAGGACAGGGTGGACCATGAATGTGCTTTTCTGCATCCAAACAAAGAGTTAGAGAAGCAAAGGATGCCAAGCAGTGAACTTCTGAGCAAAGTGGAAGCAGTTTCCCTTCAAACAGAGACAGCTTCTCTCCAAAGAAGCTCTTTGGAGCGAAAACCTGGATGCGCGGGTCTTTAGTAAACGGCGTTTAAGAGAAGGAGGACAATGGGCACTTTATGCATAAACGTGGGCCATCATCCAAAGTACGGCTCAGAATTTAAGACAATCCGATAGATGGATACTCTCACTTAAAACGGTAAAATTAATCAGCTAACAAAAGAACCCCAAGACTTTGTCCACAAGCCTGGTTTGCTTCTTAGTTCCATTTATTGGATCGTTGACTCCATCGACAAACTATTATATCTATCCCTCGTGCAGCGATAAGGGGTGGTTCAGAGGAATCACATCCTCTTTCAAAGACGAGGGGTGACCGAAAAAGGCCCATCGGGTTCAAGCATCAGCATCTAAAGGGAGGGTTAAGGCAGACTCTGCCAGCCCGCCTGCCAATGGGTTCTCACAATACACTTTACCCGACCAGTTTAGAGACTTCGCGGCTGCAGGAAAAAGAACGCTAAGCTTGATCGGCGTTGAACCTGGTTAGTTTGTTTTGGGAGAACAGGCCACTGAAAGCAGGCTAATTCAATAACTTGAGCATTCAGCATAGGGGGTTAGATGGCTCAAATCTCTAACGGAGTCGGAGGCGCTTTCGGGGAGCCGAGCTTACGTTAAAACTAATAAACGCCAGCCTTACGAGGAGGGGGGGGGGCGTTAGAAGTCAGATAGTTCCAACTCCTTGGGGTTTCGCGTCGGGAATAGTTAACCGCGGACGTGCAACTCGTTGTAGCTCCAACGCGTCTCTTGTTAAGAATCAGACCGTCCCTCTCCCGGATCAGACATCGCCATTTGGCGCATTTTGGCTTAGCTGCCCTTCGCGACCGGTGCAGCTGGCGCCTTCGCATCTCCGTGGCCCTTCCGTTGGCTTCGAGACCACCAAAAGTGAAATAAAGTGCCCGCGCGGAACAGGGGAGAAAGTTGCCACCTTGCTGAAATGGCAAAGATTTCGGCTTATTTGAAGAATCATTCAAATGAACAATTTTTATTAATATGGAGAAGATGGATTGTCTATATTCAAAAGAAGCACAGAGTGGTGGAATATAATTTAGACTTTTAGTAAACTCGTTTTTCTTGTTTTTTAATATATTTTACCTACTCATGTAGAAAAATATACTTTGTGGAGTTAGAGATTTTAATATTTGTTTGCTTATATTTGAATATTATCCTGGGATTAGGTTTGGGAAGTCCGGGGTGGGTGGGTGGGGGGTGAGGGTTTTTTCTATATTGTATTGTGAAATATTTGTGTTGTTTTTTTTAATGATGAAAATAATAAAATTTTATATTGAAAGTTGCCCAATGCGCCTCTTTCATCCCTGAGAAGCGCTGCTCCCTCAGACCCCCCCCCCGCAAAGTGGGGACTCCGACCAACGGGACGACCAAGACCCGCCGTTTATAGGGTTGCCAGGTCTGCTTCCCAAAAATAGCGGACAAGCGGGGGGAGGGGGGGTTAAGTAGTAAAAAAAAAGTAGACTGTACAGCTTTAGATTGCGTACCATTTCATCATAAAGCTTTTGAATCAAAAAAAAGTGTCCACTATTTTGTGAAAAAAAAATAGTGAACATAATGTGAAAAAAGTGGACTGTCCACTCAAATAGTGGACACCTGGATCGGGCATCTCCCCTTAAAAGGAAGCCCTTTGGGATAAGCCGGTGGAGTCGCCAGATTCTTAAAGCCCGATTTCCACCCTGCTCCGGGTTCACTTCGGTTAAAAGCAAACGAAAACACCCGGGCTTACCTTTCTGAACTCCCGGCCCCAGCGAGCCCCACGTCTGGTTTTTGCCTTCTTTGAACAAAGTTTCCCCAACCGGATCTGCAGGAAAAGAGGGAAGGGGTCGGGAGGCGAGGAGCACAAAACACCCCGAATCGGAGCCGATCCCCACCCGCAGCTTCGGTCAGCTCATCCTTTCGGCGGGGGGAAAAAACGCCGTTCCCCGGAGGAGCCTCGCCTTCTTCCTCGTCCCCCCCGCCGCCCGCCTGCCCGCCCGCCTCTGCCGCTCCCCCGCCTCCCCGCCAAGCCGCTATGAAGCCAGGAAACGCGTCCAGGAAAAAGGAAATCCGACTTCCGACGGGAGCCGTCGGGGCCGCTTTAAAGAGGGAAGGCCAAGGCGGCTCGGCGCGCCTGCCAGCGCCTCCCGGGTAGCAAAGAGGCGATCTGGGGGGTGGGGAGGGAGGGAGAAAAGGGGTCCGATTCCCTCGGCGGAAAGCTAGCCAGGCCAGGCCCGGGAGGAGTTTGGAGCGGCTGGGCGGCCGAGCCCGCGTCTGCCCTACCTGGCAGGTACATGTTGAGCAGCAGGGTCCGGGCCGCGCCGCGTCTCATGGCAGCTCTGCGCGCACCCCGCGCCCGCGGGGGGTATTATGGCCTTCGCCCGGGAAGAGGGTGGCTGCGGCTGCGGTTGTTATTACTCTGTATTGCCGTCGCCGCCACCCGCGGAGGCCGAGCGCAGGTTCGGGAAGGGGGGGGGGGGAGGAGGGGCCAGATGGGGCGGGGGGAGCAATAGCCTGGCAACGCGCGAGGGGCGCGCGCCTGCAATTTCCTCTGCGCTTTAATTAAAGGCGCGGCGCGGGCGCTTATCGGCCCCATCAGACTTTAATAAAGTTTCCCCCGTTAAAGATCGCCGTTTCTATGGAGAGAGGCAGCCGCGGCCGCCGCGTTTTCCGCCTCCTTAACTCTTTGCAAACAGGCAGCGCCTGCCTGACCTGGCAAGGCCCGGCCGGCTCCGGCGGCGCTTCTGCTCCAGCGCCTCTGAGCCAACAAGCGCGCGAATCTCGGCTGAGGGACGGGGGCCCGGCGGGTCCACGCGGGCCCAGAGACGAAATGCAGCTTGGGCGGGCGTGGAGATGGCGGCAGGGGGGGAAAATCAGGCCGGAGACTCCATCAGTGGCACCAGCCGGCTGGGGGGGAATCGAGCCTCTCTCGGCCTGAACTTTTTCATTCAATAATTTTTCTGTTTTCTGTGTACAGACCCAAAGCCTTCTCCAAATTCATTTGGTTCCAAAACGGCATAATTGTCATTCAAAGCCTAGTGAGAAATGGCAATAATAGGGTAGCTCAGCTGAGCACTGTAGAGATTTTTTTTTCTTCTGCTTCAGATTATCTGGACAAGTCTCTGCAGTTTTCTTAACAAGGTTTTTCAGAAGCGGTTTGCCATTGCCTGCTTCCTAGAGTTGAGAGAAAGTGACTGGCCTAAGGTCACCAAGCTGGCTTCCTGACTAAGGTGGAACTAGAATTCCTAGTCTCCAAGTTTCTTGCCTGACCCTTTAACCCAGTGGTTCTCAACCTGTGGGTCGGGACCCCATTTGGGGTCGATCGACCATTTCACGGGGGTCGCCAAGCAAGGCTGTCCGCCATTTTTTTTGTCCGCCATTTTTTTCCCCTTTTCCGGTGGGTACCTTACCTCCCTTGGGCTGGGCCAGCTGGTGGTCAGCCTGCTCCGTCTCTGCCACTTGCCAGCTACGCCTCGGCTGGTGCAGGGGGCGGAACCACGCATGCGTGGCACTCCCGGGCAGGGAAAGTCCTCGACTTACGACCGGTTGGGTAGTCCTCGACTTACAACCGGTTTAGTCCTCGACTTACGACCGGCTTAGTCCTCGACTTACGACCGGTTTAGTCCTCGACTTACGACCAGTTGGGGTCGCGGCATTAAAAAGGTTGAGAACCACTGCTTTAACCACACTAAACCGGCTCTCAGAGCCTGTTAAGTGAAGGCCAAACCAATGAGGGGATCATGAATAGCTTACAGACTCTGCTTGCCTACCTGATATCCTCCATATCTATTAGATTCCTGTCTATCGCTCCCAGTAAGGCTGGTTAATACACCAGAAGGCCGGATTACAGTGTTACATGCAATCAGTACATATATATATACACAGCCTGTGATGCAAAGTGTTTATCCTGCTTCGCTTCTCAGGGAAATCTCAGACCTCTTGAAGTTCTGGCCTTGAGAGCACTTAGATTTCAGGTTTCACGGTTTACATTTGTTTCCATATCCCTGTATGCATTTGCTGGCTTCTAACTATAATCTAACAGACAATAAGTGTAGAATCATAGAGGTGGAAGGTAACTATTTAGGGCCATCCAATTTCTGTACTTGCCTCCTCTGTGCAAGAATCCAACTCAGAATAACCCAAAGAAATGGCTGTTTAGCATCCATTATGCATCTGACGAGGTTGCTATGCATAGGTGTACACAGTACTCTTAGTAATCCTTAACACTTGTCTGGATCATTTCTATTCTGTAGGTGTGGAAGGATGCTGGAGGCCTTTCCTCTTGTTTGTTAAACTGGCGGAAAATTATAAGACCTCCCACCAATTCCCAGTCATATAATGGAAACTGATCAAGGAGAGAAGCAACCTAAAACTAAGGAGAAATTTCCTGACAGTTAGAACAATCAACCAGTGGAACAACCTGCCTCCAGAAGCGGTGAATGCTCCAACACTGGAAGTTTTTAAGAAGCGACTGGACAGCCATTTGTCTGAAATGGTGTAGGGCAGTGGTTCTCAACCTTTTTAATGCCGCGACCCCAACTGGTCATAAGTCGAGGACTAAACCGGTCGTAAGTCGAGGACTACCCAACCGGTCATAAGTCGAGGACTTTCCCTGCCCGGGAGCGCCGCGCATGCGTGGTTCTGCCCCCTGCGCCGGCCGAGGCGGAGCTGGCAAGCGGCAGAGACGGAGCAGGCCGACCACCAGCTGGCCCAGCCCAAGGGAGGTAAGGCACCCGCCGGAAAAGGGGGAAAAAATGGCGGACAAAAAAAATGGCGGACAAAAAAAATGGCGGACAGCCTTGCTTGGCGACCCCCATGAAATGGTCGATTGACCCCAAATGGGGTCCCGACCCACAGGATGAGAACCACTGGTGTAGGGTTTCCTGCCTGAGCAGGGGGTTGGACTAGATGACCTCCAAGGTCCCTTCCAACATTATTATTATTATTATTATTATTATTATTATTATTATTATTAATCACCTGACTTCTCTCCAAGGCAATGGATGATCAAATCTAACACCTTGAGACTGCCCTTAGAAGGTGTCAGAGGTGTGTGTGGGGGAGAGAGAATGCTACCTTAACACCTGTACAGCTAAGGATGACATAAATTTGTCTCATTCGAGGTAAAAGTAATGTGATGCAGATCCAGCAGAAAAATAAATGTTGACAGGGCATGGTTTTTGCCAAGGTAAGATCCAGGTGAGGAAAGGCTCTCAACCTTTACTGTATCTCTTAATATTATTTCATTTTATTTTCCAAAAATCAAGACTTCAGGGAAATTTTCCTTGATGTAAGGCTGTTCCATTGAACAACATGTGTAGCATAGCCTTGTTACTGACTCATAATAGTGGGTTATTGTGAGTTCCATATGATGTTCTACTGGAAACAGATGGAGAAGGATAGCATTGCGTTAATTTTCACAATGTTTTTGCAAAATATTTTTATGAAAAAGAAGCTTTTTGAAATGCAAGATTTTTTTAAAAAAAACTAAGCCTGTGTTATTCTGTGATTTCACCCAAACTTACAATAAACTGCAATTTTTGCCAATGATGCAATAGCATTATCTAGATCCAGAAACTGATTCCAGACGTTTCACCTAATCCCTGTGTTAAAACACAGATAAGAGAGTGGATTTAAAAATAAATATTTATTTACAAATATATTATTAAAACTTTATCCTACCTCCCCCCTACGTGCTTGGATCACCTCATCTTGTTCACCAAACTTTGATTATTTTAAATTTGCATCTCTGCACAGCAGAGACATCTAGTGGCTGCTTGTGGGAAAAGTGAGGTAAGTTTTGTGATCAAGAGAGCAGGTGGCAGCAGTAGAAAAGGATTCCAGAGGGGAGGGGAGAGAGGGGAGCTTTCCAGAGGAGAGAGGGGAGGGGAGTGGCACTTCAGTGATAGGCAAAAATCTGATGCTTTCTTCTTCCCTTATCCATGTGGGTTGTGTTTATGACACCTGGTAAATAAGACTATGATTTACAGTAATTATGGGTGCACTTCCTTTACTGATAATATGGAGCAATGGCTTTGTTCAGCTGGTGCTCACATGCTCCCAAATGCTGCAGCATAGACTGCTGATAAGAGGCCTCAGTGCCTGTAAATATGCAGGAATTGCTTTATTTATGCATGTATTTATTTATTACATTTATATGACTCTGGATGCATATAAACAAACCAAAAACCAATTTTAAAAAACATTCAGGAAATACAAAAATTAATATTACTACAAAAAAGCTAAGAGAGCATTAGATTACAACAATGTGGACACCCCATAAGACATCTCTCTCTCTCTCTCTCTCTCTCTCTCTCTCTCTCTCTCTCTCTCTCTCTCTCTCTCTCTCTCTCTCTCTCACTCACACACACACACACACACACACACACACACACACAAATACCAATCCTCAGAAATAGTCCAGAAGAATATCATGATTGATGGTATCCAAGGCCAATGAAACTTGAGTGAAAGGGGTCCAAATAATCTACTTCATCCTGGCACCTCTGAAGCTATCACCTATTCTACCATCTTGTCTAAAAAGGGGGAGGTTAAATACTTGATGAAAATTGTCCAGCCTGGTGGGCCCAGTGATGTTTTCTTGAGGAAAGTGCAAACCAACACTTCTTTGAGAGGCAAAGGAATGGCCCCCTCACCCAAGGAAGAATTCACCACTGCTAGAACCAGCTCACATGACATCCCCCGCTTCCCATACAACTTTAATTAGCCAGGAAGGGCATGAATCTAAAGAGCACCCTGACCACTTCCTTAGGCCCAATAGGTTCATTCCCACATAACAGGGCAAGACTCTACCCTGGGAACTACAACATGGCCAGCATCCAGCAGTGAATGAATTGTAGCCATTTTGACCAACAAATGCATAGCAAATTCTTCTGCATGAGTCTCCAGAGGGGTCTTTGAGGGGCCTCTACCCAAGAGGGCACAGATTATTTAAAACAGGGTGGTGAAATAACTATCTACGGATGCAATAAGGGTGGAGAAGTATTGTGACTTCACTGCCCTCAGTGCCATGCGGTAGGCCATAACAGTGTCTCTAACCCGTGTTTAATTGAGTTTGTTCCACAGTGAACCTCAGCAACATTCTAGATGTCTCTTCCCCTGTTTCATCTCCCTCAGTGCTTCAGTAAATCAAGAAGAGTGATGGGATCCATGAGAGGGGGGAGGTCACCTAGGCGCGATCCAATCCAAATCCTCGTTCGCTTCTTGTCAAAGTCCCAGATGGAGTGTGCAGCAGAGCAGCAGGAACAGTCCCCAATTCCATCTGAAACCCATCAGGGAAGATGATCTAATTATAAGTCCAGCCTTCCTGTGGTGGAAA